TGTTTTTATTATTAGCATCGACCGCGCTAACCGGCTGACCAATGAAAAGACGTCAGTCTTAGTGCGGTTGAAAACACAAAACACTTCTATCTACCATGAACTGGGACCCCGTGAGGGGGCAGCATGGGGGAGGCTAGACGATCCTTCGGATCAAAAACAGAACCAGCAGCAACAGACGAAAAATGCACGCGTCTACCAAGGCTATTACCTAGTACTCGAGTTCGTTTAGGAGTACTTTCACCAGTATCCTCCTTGTTTTCGCTACCATCATTCTGATCCTCATGTTGACAAGAAGAATCTCAGGACAGTTCTTCCCTAGCCCTGCGTTTCTTGTTTTGGGAAAGGTCATCTGGCTCAAACCCTTGCTCTCTTCCACTCCTCCATGTTTTCCTGCTCCATCGTCGTCTTCGTCTTCCTTTCTCCCCTTTTTCTTTCCTTCGTCTCCGTAACTCCCAAAAGAATTACCCTTACTACGATCGTTGTCGCAGAGATCCCAACCGATTGGCCCTGGTGGAAGTTGGTCGATCAGTAGCCCATGACGTTTGGACACATCGCGAGTTCGCATCGACAGAAAACGAGCTAGCTCGAAGGTAAACCGTCTCCGAATCCTGTTAGTATGAAACGCTTTCAGGCGAACTAAGGCTCTTTCTTCTTCGAAATTCCCCCGGCAAAAAGCTTCGTGCGCCAAGTGGTTGGCGATAGCAACGATGAGTCGATTGGTGCCTTTGCCAAGACCACCATTCGTTGAAAAAGCAGCAGTAAGGAGGGTAGATCTAGACGGGTTGAAAGTTCCCGCATAGTGATTTGCCTTACCTGCAGCTCGATCTTCGAGGGCGGATCCTGGCTTAAGGGTCGACTTGCGGATGGGTTGACGATTGTTACGTCTATGAGAATGGACTTGGTGCAGAGTTCCTCTTCCTTCTCTCCTGCGTGTAATCCTGGGGGGATTACCAAATCCATCTTGTATAGCCCCTTTCCCCTACCAGTGCCTGTGGTAAAAGGGGAAGAATCCTCAACGGCGATGGGCATATGGCACTCGCGCAGTGTCTTGAGGACCACTCGAACCATCCTGTTATGGAGGAAGGTTGAGGCGCCGGTCTTGGTGCAGACGGGGGAGTGGGCTCGGCTCAAGCGGTCCGTGCATGGTAAGAATGCACCTGGACCACAAAGTTTGCCTGTGGTGCAGTCTGCTCGATCGTGACTCCCCNACTCGAACCATCCTGTTATGGAGGAAGGTTGAGGCGCCGGTCTTGGTGCAGACGAGGGAGTGGGCTCGGCTCAAGCGGTCCTTGCATGGTAACAATGCACCTGCACCACAAAGTTTGCCTGTGTTGCAGTCTGCTCGATCGTGACTCCCCAGTACACGACCGATTGACTCTCGATATAGATCAGGCAGCATTCTTTCATCTGCTGACAACCCTTGCGTTGTCAACCACGACAAAACTCCCTTGCCTTTCGCTTCCTCCAAGCGGATCAACGCGCTCTTCTTTGGCGTTTCCTCGCCTACTACTTTCTGCGAGTCTGACTCCACCAT